GTAAATCACATCTTACCTGGACATGGAACCATTTCGTTGCAAATCTGAGTTTCCTTCCCCTCTCCATCACATTTCTTCCCTCCATATTGAGGAGCTGGTGAATTACATTCACGTGTTCTTGACTGTTTTCCTTGTTTGCAGGTTTTAGTGCAAGTGCTCCACTTGCCCCACTCTCCCCACTCTCCGTCAACTAAAAGCAGCAAAATGAAAATTATTGGAAGCTTCAGCTTCACGCATATTTATCTACATGTCACACCACTCGAAAAGTAATCTTAGACACGTGTCAAACACATCTAAAGTTGACTAAACATATATCAAAGAAAGATAGTAAATTTTAAAATTACCTGGTACAGAGGCTGTGAATTCAAGCTTACCTGGGCAGGGCACCTTCTGGTTACACACTTGACTTTCCTTTGCTTTGCCATCACATTTCTTTCCACCGTACTGAGGAGCTGGCGAATTACATTTACGTGTTCTTGATTGCTTTCCTTGTTTACAACTCTTTGTACATGTACTCCACTCGCTCCATTGCGCCCAGCTGCCATCAACTGGAAGAAAATAACATTTCGACTGTAAGTAAATACAATACTAGTACCTAGGTGTACTTTCCTTTTGAACAAAAAACTCTATCTGATGCATTTGAGACAATAAAATAAAAATAAAAATTGTGAGTTAAACCAAAGAGGTATCTTTCATCACTTCTGCTGGGAGGAAAGTAAGGTTATACCATTATTACGATGCAATGAAATACAAATGAAGCTTCCAAGTGTGGCGTAGAATATTAAACTTAGGATGGCGAAATAAATTACTGCTCTGAAACGATGAATTAAAGATATTACCAGTCTAGCTTACCTGGGCAGGAGACATTCTGGTTACAAACTTGTGCTTCCTTTGCTTCTCCATCACACTTATTTCCACCGTATTGTGGAGCTGGTGAATTACATTCACGTATTCTTGATTGTTTTCCTTGTTTGCAACTCTTTGTACAAGTGCTCCACTCACTCCATTGTCCCCAGTTACCATGAACTGAAAAGATAAAAAATATATTTTGATTGTAAACAGGGTATTATAACAGCACCATGATGTCTTAATTTAAAGTTTACAACAAATTACCTCAACGAAACAACAGAAAAAACAAACTGTAAATCACATCTTACCTGGACATGGAACCATTTCGTTGCAAATCTGAGTTTCCTTCCCCTCTCCATGACATTTCTTCCCTCCATATTTTGGAGCTGGTGAATTACATTCACGTTTTCTTGATTGTTTCCCCTGTTTGCATGTTTTAGTGCACGTGCTCCATCCGCTCCACTCACCCCAGTTTCCATTAACTAAACACAAATGTTATATTAGTATCAACCACATAAGCTTGCACTGATGTATATTATCAATGCAGGGAAATACTCGGGTTACTCTGTTTTCTACTCAGTAACCACCGAGTACATTAAATTACTGGTATAACTACAATCCCTGAAAAACAACACATTTTATGCATTGGAAGCGAAGTAAATTAGTACCACATGGAGCACAACAAGGACCTATCTGTCATAACAGAAGATGGAGGGAGGGAGAAACAAAGTTTTTTTATGATAAGAGGCAACGCATATGACCCATTGTGACTACATAAGATATCAAAACTAATTGTTGTTTTGCAATAAATGATCCGGAGGAGATCATTTGTGATTATACAGCGAATTAAAGAACCCGGTGACGACGTTTGTGCTTGTGTTTGTGTCGTAGTGAAAACCAGGTTTTACATTCATTGTACCTTCGCAAATGCTGCAGGTCTTCTGGCACTTAAAGTACTTGAACGAGGGATAATCGCAATAGCCTTTCTTTTTGTAATGCTGACATTTCTCTGCACCATAGCGATCGCTCCCTGGTCCTGTAAAAAAAACAAAAAAAACAAAAAAAACAAAAAAACATCAACGGCCTTATGGAAATTTTGATGGCTACAAGAGCGTTCTAGCTGTTTTAAAAGAGCTGATTACCAGTTCCCAAGAGTATATAAAAATTGTAAAAGAAGGCAACGTTATTGTTTTATTTTTGTGTTTAAATTGTTTCACGGAAGCAATAAGAGTAGATAATTAGGATATCCTTGGATTTGGCATATGACGAGCGCTAAACAATAACAGAATGCATGCGATCAAAACACGGCTCGGAGAAATAATTTAAAAATGAAATGCATTAATAGTTTTTAAAAGACACGTTTCTTCACCTTCACACCCAGAGCATGTTTTACGACATTCTCTCATGTGTTGATCACACTTTCCTTCTTTCTTTATCTTGAAGCACGAGTTGCATTTGTAAATGTCCAGGCAACCTGGAGGAAAAAAAAGCTCGCACATATGTATGAATATTACGTATTGTTCTGATATTTTTTAAACACCTTTCCCGTTTTAAACACCTTTCCCGTTTTTTTTTTTTTTTCTGGCAATTGCCTGATGATTGCTTCGGAGGAGGCATGAAACTCTGAGCAGCAAGTAAATGTCTTGGATCAACTAATCCAGCTCTTTACTTCTATGTTGTTATAAACTGCTCTAGTCTAACTATTGAGTACTCTGATGGGCGATGAGGATTTCAACCTGCTATTTAGTTAGGAACAACGGAATATATTATATGGCTGAACTGGTCCGCTTTAAACAATAGAATTCTGATTTTCCCTTTAGCGGTCTGAATTTTGCAATACGGATCACTAAGATGGGCCGCTCATGAACTGATTTCTGCGAATTGTTTTTCCGTTTCATTGTACAACAGTTTTTTTTTTGTTTTTTTTGCCTTTTTTACCTGCAGAAAAATATAACTCCACTAATATTTTTCCAATACGGACCTCGCGCTTGTTCAATAGCATATATTTATTTCATGCTGCAGAAAACTACATGTAAGAAAACTTTACGTTAGTTTTAGACGTTCGTGGTTTTCCTGTCATACATGTATGCATTAGTAATAGCTAATAATGAAAGTAGTGAATGATGAAATAATGAAAGCTCGAGCAATTAACAATGTACACTATACTTTTAATTTGTGAGAATTCTTTCAAATTACTCTCTTATAAGGCTTTAGGTACATTCCTCGCGCCTGCATATGTCTCTCTGGATATCTGTCCTCATTATTTAGCTGTTACATATCTGGATGAAATAATCTGATAGCAGTGAAAGTTTTGTACAAAGTACGAATCATATACATGGTAACAGGGAATTAGTTCTACCAGGACATAGTAGACATTTTTAAACTTACGGTTATAATAGCCAGAGTCGTTTGAGGGTACATCATTAAATTCTGAAAAGAAAATAGGCCTGACTAATGTATGTGACTTGATTTATATCATGTAAAATGTATATATGCAGAGCAGACAGAAGTCCAATTTGCACTCAACAATCTGTTACAGTCTGTTGGCATGGGCACATCAAAACTCGGGGGATATATGATTCGAAGTTGAACCTGGCAACCACCTTGTTTCTTTTAAACAGAAAGCCCATTCTGCAATGGAATTTCTACGATCTATCCTGAATCCATGAAGATCTAGGTCCCAAAGCGGCAAAAATATCTCCAACACTAGCAAATTAGGTGTAAGGTATCTGTGTATGGCCATAACTGGAATCACTTCATATTGTACAACTCTGACTGAATCAAAACTCCAACTGACCTCATTCGGATCATGAGAACTACGGCTAGGCCCATTTATGACTTAAAATGGATCTTACTTGGTAAAACACAAATCTTACCATTCTCTTCATCTGAGCTCTCTGAAAATGGCCAAAACGCCGAAGCTAAATGGAAAGTCAATAAGGCAAAAACCAACAAACGAGGTATAAGCATTTTGCTCTTTAGCCTTCTCTTCCCTTGTCCTTTTTTTTTTCAAAGCCAGCAGCGCTATCGAGAAACTAAATTGGAGTTTATATATACTTACTAGAAAGTCATTGCCATTGGATATGGGAACATAAAATGATGAACAAAGGAAACCCAGGGAGACAAATTTGAACAATACACGTCCGTCACTTTTGTTCCTTTTCATGCTAAAGAAAACTCAATAAAGAAAAGGTCATCGAATGAAAAGATTTTTGAATAAAAGTTGAATTCTATTTTTTGCTTAGTTAAATGGTCCAAAATCATGCATTAGCACTTGTCAGCAAACACGAAGTTTGTGGCGGGAATAAAGACAAAACGACATTTTCTAACTGAGAAATTAAATGAAATAATGTTACTTCAATTGAATTTTATTTATTTTTTTTTTTCTAATCGTTACTCGTAACAACCACGAATTCTATTATACGTTCAACAGTCATATGTCATTACAACAAAGTTCAATATAGGTTTTCCTTCGTCAATTTCAAGTTCAAGCACCCTTAAAAACTGAATATCGTACATGCATCAATCACAAAGTCTGATGAATTTCCTGCTTTGTCTTAGTATTAGTTATAGATTTTTTTAAATGCACACAAGGCAGAACAATGTGTTTCTATTGTTTCCAAATAAGGATAGGTATCTTTGTCGTGATTCCTGGCTGTATAAACTTTATTCAGGTTCTTGAGTAACAGATGGTACGATTTTTGGTACTCTTAATCAAAACGATCATTTCAATATTTGGTATTTATTAATTTAACAACTATTTGCTCATTTGCCACCAAATTTCCTTAACTAGTTGCTATAAATATCTCTCGATTTGTCCGACGCCAAGACTGAATAAATTTAATCGAGTTTTCAGGTGTTGTGAATGTGATCTATTTTATTCTAAAAAAATGATCCAACAGTCAAATACAAACTCAAGTCATAAAACGTCCAAAATGTCATGCCACAATGTACACAGTACACCATTTATTAGCTATGTTGAAACATTAATGGCCCTTTTTCGGTTGCGAAGCACCTTTTTGTTCTTCCTAGTACAAAAGATAATGGAACAATTACTAACTGAGGAGCAATATAATCACATCGAAATATAAAACACTGCCGATGGTGTTATTAGTCAGCGATATCTTGACCACATTAATCACACAATTAATTCAGCATTAAATATATCATTTTCGAAAACCCTGTCTAGGGATATAAGTGTTGTGCCGTATTAAGAAAGCGCCCTTAGAAAAAAATCCATTTGCTTTTCTAAAGACCTGGCGCACACACACACAAAAAAAGCGTTTTATATTGAAAACTTTTGCTCGGCTTTTGTTGATCAGTATTACATCTTTAGTGAACAATAGAAGCCATTCGTGACAAATCAAAGCAGCTTTTTGGTTAACTAACTTCCTATTGAATAAGCAAAAAACCTAACGTTAGCACTGTGCTTACGTTACCCAACATGATGATGTCCTCAAACCCTATTCGCCAACGTTTGGTTTTGCGGAAAAGAAATATTGAAAACAAAAAAAAAAAGAAAGAAAGAAAGAGAGAAATATGGTACATCTGGCTACTAATAAGAATGGTTCAGAGTGAATTTTAATCTCCCGGGATTTAAGCACTCCTCTTATATGTTTTAAGACAACATTACTGAATTAATGCTAGCTAGTGCAACAGCAAATTCTCGTCGACTACAACGTTCGAACTTGCTCACAAACTTGTGTGCGGTACTGGTTATTTGAAATTTCTATTCTCAATACCGACCTAATTTTCCATAAGGAGGGAAAAATTAAAGATTAAAATCGAACCCTTTCACTGCTTCAATGAGTCAACGATCAATGGCACTGTTAATTGTTCGGGTATTTATCGCTTAGTATTAAGTACACATACGTAGCTATTACTTAACTTCGCAACTAACGTGAAATTCATTTAAAACTTCAAATCCAGTAGAAGGCTTTCTTCAGCGTAAGAATGACGAGAGAACTTCTTTTCAGAATAGTTAAAGGGAATACTAGTCACACATGAAACCTATCTGTGAATAAATATTAGATCTTGTCTCAGCAATATTACAGTTTACCAACGAATTAAACCACACAGGATGTCGCGGACAG